CTCACACCAGTCAAAATGGTCCTTATCAAAAAATATGCAAAACATAAATGCTGAAGAAAGTGTGGAGAAAAGGGATCCCTCCTACACTGTTGGTGGGAATGTAAACTGGCACAGTCACTATAGAGAACAGTATGCTGGTTCCTTAAAACCTAAAACTAGAACTACCATGTGATCCAGCAGTCCCCCCTTTGGGCATATATCTTGAGAAAAACATGGTTTGAAAGGATACATCCACCCAGTGTTCACTGCGCCACTGTTTACAATAAGCCAAGACATGGAAAATCTAAATGTCCATCCACAGATGGATAAAGAAGATATGATAAATATATAAAATGGAATATTACTCAGAAAGAATGAAATAATGCCATCTGCAGCAACACAGATGGACCTGGAGATTATCATACTACATAAGTCAGAGAAAGACATATATCACAGATATCGCTTATATGCAGAATCTAAAATGATATAAATGAATTTACTTACAAAAACAGAAACAAGACTCTCAGACTTAGAGAATGAACTTATGGTTACCAGTGAGTAAGAGTGGAAGGGAAGGATAGACGGGGAATTTGGGATTGACAGGAACACACTGCTATGTTTAAAATAAAATGCCTTTCCATGAAAAAAAAAATCAATCAATCAATGTCACCAAAAAGAAATCTCCAGATCCAGATGGCTCACAAGATAACTCTTCTAAATGTTTAAAGAATCAATGCCAGTTCTACACAACCTCTTCAGAAAATAGATAAGCTTCATTTTTTGAAGCTTGTTATTACCCTGATACCAAAACCAGACAAAGGATCAGAGATTGAACTGTAAAACATAAAACTATAAGCCTGAAAAAACAAAAAACAGGAGAAAATCTGAAGGATCTTAACACTAGGTACAGATTTCTTATAGTGACACCAAAAGTATGATCCATAAAAGGAAAAAGGAATGAATTAAAATTTAAAAGTTTTGCTCTGTGAGACTCTGTTAACAGAGGAAAAGACAATCTTTAACTTGTCCTACTTTACTTGTGCTACTTGCCCTACATTTGGGAGAAAATGTTTACAAGCCACATATCTGAGAAATGACTCACATCTAGCATATACAAAGAGCTCTCAAAAGAAAACCCAATTAGAAAATGGGCAAAAGACATGCAGACATTCTATTCAAAAGCATATGAAGAGAGCAAACACATGAAAAATGTTCATCATTAGCCATTAAGGAAATACAAATTCATGAGATGCACAATATGCACCTATTAGAATGGCAAAAAATAAAAAAGGAAAAGAGAGTGAAAACATCAAATGGTGAGGAAGCACAAGAACTGGCTGGTGAGAATGTAATGATTCAGCCAGTTTCTTAAAAAATAAACACGCCGCCACCTTGTGACTCACATGAAGCAACAACTCCACTCAAGGGAAAAAGGAAAACTCATGCTGGTTCAAAATCCTGTACACATTTACATTAACTTTACTTAGAGAAGCCAAGAACTGGAATCAATCCAGATGTCCATCAGCCAGTGCATGGTTAAGCAAACCGTGGTCCCTCCATACCAAGGAATGCTATTAAGCACTAAAAAAAAAAAACCCAAAAACTGAACTGCTGTTACACATAGCAATCTGGATGCATCACTAGAGATTATGCTTAGTGAGAAAAGCCAGTCCCAAAAGACTGTATATTGCATGACTTGATTTAAACTATCTTGAAATGATGAAACTGTGAAAATGGAAAACAGGTACATGGTTGTTAATTAAGGAGGGTTTGGAGATGGGAGGGGAGTGAGTGTGGCTATAACAGGGGGCCAACATGAGGGATTCTTGTAATACAGAAATATTCTGCATCTTGACTACAGCAGTGCCAGTATCCTGGCTATGATAATGCACATGTTTTGTAGGATGTTACCACTGGAGATTAAAGGGTATGGAGAATGCTTCTGTACTTCTTACAACTGCATGTGAAGAATCTATGCTGCTGCTGCTGCTAAGTCGCTTCAGTCGTGCCCGACTCTGTGATCCCACAGACGGCAGCCCACCAGGCTCTTCTGTCCATGGGATTCTCCAGGCAAGAATACTGGAGTGGGTTGCCATTTCCTTCTCCAGAGGAATCGATAATTATCTCAAAATTAAAAGTTTAGTCAAAAAATAAACATCTTAAAAAAGAAAGGCTCTTTACCTGCTAATCCTGCAATAACCTGGTCTGTTCATCTAATGCTATGGCCCCTCTCCTACCTATTATTCACATCAAATTCCTTCTTTGCCATTGAATTATTTGGCCCTTATTTTATTCAGCTAATACCATTCAAATAAAATTACTCTTGTTAAAGTCATCTTTGAACTACAAAGCAAAATGCAAACTTGCTGGTGTTTTGGTTTACTCACCTCTAAGTTGTTTGACACTGATGGTAGTTTACCCCACTCCCTGAAGCTCTCCTACCTCTCCTTCCATGACAACACTCTGTTGGCTGTCCTCCTGCCTCTTCAGCTGCCTCTGAGGGGTAGCAAAGTCCCCCCACTTTTTCCCCCCTTATTTACTCTCAAATGCTAGCTTTATCCAGCTAGCATTTCTTGCCTTATATATGCTCCTTGAGTATTCTGGGTATCAGCCATTCCATCCACATGTCCTTATCAATTATCTAACTGCATAAACAACCTCCAGAGCAAGTGTCCCACAGGACACTCAAGCACAGTGTAGTCCATACTGGACTACCTCCTATTCCTGTCCACCAAAAAGAAATGTCTTCTTATATTCTTATTAACTGTTACCCCATTCTCGTAATATCCTACTCAGAAACCTAGGAGTTTTCCTAGTCTCTTCCTTTCTCAACCCCAATACCTAAAAAGTTTCTAAGTCTTTTAAATTCTTCTGAGTATCCCTTGATTTTTGTCCTTTTTCTCATGTGTTCTGTCAGTTTCTTAGTTTAGTCAAACTCTTATCATCTCTTATTTAGCCTATTTCCTGGCCTGGCTCCCTTCCACTGTTTATACTGTTTACAGGAAATTTTAACTAAAATACAAATTTGGTAATATTACAATGGTGCTTCAACTTCTTCCAAGGCTCCACATTGCTTTCAAGAAAAAGTATAAATTTCTTACCCTAATACGTATGACCTTTAAATCTCAACCTACTTTCCATATTCATCTCCTACAGCTTACCCTTCTCTGCTACTCTCTAGCCTCACAGAGCTATTTGAATTTCCCGAACATGCTATGTGGGCTCCTGATGAGTACCTTTAATCATGTTCACTTACCCTGTAATACAGCCTTCCCAGTTGAATGGCTCCTGTCACACCTCAGCTTTCAGCTCTGGCATCCCTTCCCTGAGAAGCTCTGCTGAACCTCCCATCCCCAGTGGCTTACTGTATTTATTTAGTAGTCTTTCCAGTATTGCTATTGTTTATTTCCTTTTGTAATCTATTTTGTAAAATAGCAAATCTCCTATTTTGTAATCTGCTATTTTGTAAAATAGCAAATATTTCCAAGTATTCCTCGAAAGACAGGACTGTGTCTTACTTTATCTCTGTATCCTTGATACCTACTAAGAATGAAGAGTTGATTAAGTGTTTATTAGATTGAACAGAAGTCAACAGTTTATTCAGTCTCTATTAAATCAATGAAAGCACTTCTGTCTCACACTGTCTCCTTTGACTCAAAACTCATCTTGACTATACACACAAGTCTTCTAATATGATCCACAGTGATGCCTTTGCTCTAATAAGACCATTATATTTACTCTACTTATCTAAACACATTTATGATAAGGTCTTTCTGGTTTCATTTTAGAATGTAAATTTCTGAAGGGCAGGGAATTCTGTAATTCTTAAAGACCTAGAATAGTTATATGTTTCTAAGAACTTTACAAATACCAGCTGAGTCCTTAAAATGAACAGAAAAGATGACTACTCCCCCCGCCCCCCAAAAAAAAAAAAGGACAAAAACAAGAACTGAATTACTAGAGATCGTATTAGGCTAATAAAAGGAAATACTGCAGGGACCTCCCTGGTGGTCCAGTGGCTGGGGCTCTGTGCTCCCACTGTAGGGGACCTGGGTTTGATCCCTGGGCAAGGAATGCAGATAATGCCACTCTTAATGGCAGAAAGTGAAGAGGAACTAAAGAACCTCTTGATGAGGGTGAAAGAGGAGAGTGAAAAAGCTGGCTTTAAACTCAACATTAAAAAAACTAAGATCATGGGATCAAGTTCCATCACTTCATGGCAAATAAAAGGGGAAGTGGAAGAAGTCACAGATTTTATCTTCTTGGGCTCCAAAATCACTGTGGATGGTGACTGCAGCCATGAAATTAAAAGACTTTTGCTCCTTGGAAGGAAAGTTATGACAAACCTAGACAGCGTACTAAAAAGCAGAGACATCACTTTGCTGACAGTGGTCTGTCTGTCAAAGCTATGGTTTTTCCAGCGGTCATGTATGGATGCGAGAATTAGACCATAAACATGGCTGAGCACTGAAGAACTGATACTTTTGAACTGTGGTGCTGGAGAAGACTCTTGAGAGTCCCTTGGAGAGCAAGATCAAACCAGTCAATCCTAAAGGAAATCAACCCTGAATATTCATTGGAAAGAGTGGTGCTGAGTTTGAAGCTCCAATACTTTGCCCTGATGTGAAGAGCCAACTCACTGGAAAAGACCCTGATGTTGGGAAAGATTAAAGGCAAAAGGAGAAGGGGGCAGCAGAGAATGAGATGGTTAGATAGCATCACCGACTCAGTGCACATGAATCTGAGCAAACTCTGGGAGACAATGGAGGACAGAGGAGCCTGGGGTGCTGCAGTCCATGGGGTCACAAAGAGTTGGACACGAGTTAGGGACTGAACAACAACAGGGAACTATGAATAGACTCCACATGCCGCAAATAAGTGTTCAAATACCACAAATAAAAGATCCGTGTGCTGCAACTAAAACTAAAAAGCTTTAAGTTTAAAAACAAGGAAATACTGCAAACATGTCATCTTAAAATAATGAATACTGCATCTCAGGCCTGATAGCCACCCAAACTAACCTTTGTCTTGTTGAACACTCTCCTTCTTCTTCAGCTACCCATCCCACATCAGCAAAAGATACCACTGCATCCTCTCCCGGGGGGCTGGAGCTCCATTCTGTCCTTGGGCTGGTCAGCTGTAAGTTACAAATAGGGGAAATTCTTCATCTGGCACCACAATGGTAGAATGAAACATTTAATTACCTAAAGGAAAAGCTTCAGCTCTAGCATTACAAACACACAGGCAGTTTCTCACATTTCCACTGAAGATCTCCACAAAAGGGATCTTTATTTATGTCATACTGCTGTTTAATAATGTATGCAATCTCTGAACTATAATTTAACTTACCCAGTTTTTATTTTACAAGTCAAATGAGACTGACTTAAAAAAAAAACCTCTGTTCATCCTCAAACATTAATTTTTAGAATCAATTATTTTCTGAAGAGATGTAGTAAAAAGTATAGAAACAAGAATAAACAAGTGACCTTGCTTTGTGCTAAATCTGACAATATTTTTAAATGGATATTGCTGTTATAACAATGAAAATACATTTTAAAATGTCATTAAATCTCTTGATTTTTAAATAAAAGTATTAACTATACTAAAGAACTGAAAATACAAATAGCAGTAGAGTAGAATTCCCTACCGAACCTTAAACACAGAGATGAAGGAACAGAATATTCTGAAATAAATATAACAAAGAAAAAGCATGCAAGTTCTGAAATTTACCTTCAAAACATGGAAAAAGAACTTGAAGTTTTGTAATATGAATAGCCTCAAAGCCAGAAGGCCAGTGAATAATAATTTTAGAATAGTAATCAGATTAACATAGTATTTCCTATAGGGTTTAAATAAAGAAAATGCAGACTTTTTAATTTACCTTGAAAAAACTGGAAGAAGAATTAAATTTAATTTTTGTTATGGAATAATGCCTCAAAGCCAAAAGGCCAATGAATAATAACTTTAAAATAGTTATCAGATTAATATGATACTTCCTGTAGGGTTTAAATAAAAAAGAAAATGCAGACTTAATTGAAGGAAAAAGCTTAAAAGGCCAAAGAGAGAGATTTACATATTTATGTGTTTATCAGAAAGTTTCTACTGTAACCCATGCTTAGTGTGAACCTTCTTACTATCACTGCAGATGAAGCTTTTGGAAGCTACACTGAATTAATACTTCTTCCTCAACTGTAAAATATACCATACAAACACATAATATTAATATGGTTAACAATTTTAAATACCTTTAGGTGCTAGTTCATCAAGATCAGTTTGGTTACATAATTCTTTGTTTAGAAAATAAATTTTGTTCTAATACAGTTACTAGTTGGAAGGAAGAAAGGTATATTTATGATAAACCGAGTTTTGACCTGAAGACTTCTTCCGTCCCCATAGTTATAAAAATTGCTGTTTTCATCTCAGATAGTTTTGTTCATAAAAGGAAGCAGAATGATACTTTTCTAAGAATACTCAAGAATATGTTTTGTGACAGTTTGTCAGAGTATTTTATAATGTAAAGATCATATAATACTTCTCAATTTTACATCTGTAATACTTCATATATTAAACATGAAATGCTGCTTTTTGCACAAACTTTAAAAAAAATTATTCCATGGATTTAGTTTGTAATCTTACTAAACATTGATTAAATGTAATCACTGAAATAATGTCTACAACATGTACTCAATGAAATGAAAATATTAATGACACTGTCAAGCACCAACTCCAGAATTAATAATATCTGTATCATTTCTAGTTGACATCCTGCCCCACAAAATAAAGCAGTTTAAATATTTAAGTTACATATCTAGATTATAACAGTGATTTATGCCACAAAAAAAGCCTAACAAAGTCCCTGGGGAAACCAAACTCATACAAAAAAATAAAAAACAAAACTGAAAAAACAGTTAATACTAATCTTTTTTTAAAAGGCCTCTTCCGCTGTTGCTGAAATGTGCATTCAGTAGCATAAGCATGAAATGACAAGGACAATTCACTCAGTAAAGTGCTAGTGTAGGTGAGGTCAGCATAGGCAGAGGGCCTGAGGGCACGGAATTCTAGCAAGTGGGATGTAGACGCCACTACTGACATGCATGGATGACTGATGGGAAGTTTGAAAAAGTAAAGGTCAACTTACTGAAGGTTCCAGCAAGGTCCTGTCCTATCACAGCTATTGTTAGTAGGGGGAAAAACAAAACAACAGTGAAGGGATAGAAAAATTTTCTTTTTCAAAATCAAGGGGATTATAAAATTTAAAATTAAAATTAGTGTTTATCAGTATCCAAAGTCTTTTCAGAAAGTACAAAAAGCATTTCATTCAGAGCAAACTTTAGTAGCACTGTACTTTTTACTGACCTTAAGAAATTCAAATCAACATTTGATACAATTTAAATTATCCAAGATTCAATTATATTTCAAGAATTTTACCAAAGTAACTTTAGGTGATTTAAAACATTCTGATAATGTAAAACTAAAGAAACTGATTTATTAAATAAAATACATAAAATAAAAATATAAAGTATTGAAATACTTAAAATACTAGAAGAACTCAGCATGTCCTCATGGGACTTTTCATAAAATAAACACACTGGTCCCAGAAACCAGGATTCTCTGTTTCTTGCCAAAAATGGTGTAACAGTAAATATACTCAGTCTATTTTACCACCAGTTGTTTATAGCTAAATGCAAAACATGTATTCTTCAAAGCAATACTGTAAAATACTGATAACAACATCTAGCTTTTTTATTTGCAGACTTAATTATTCCTCTTTTTCTACCAATTCCTGTCATAGTTAAAATATTAAAAGCAGAATTTATGCATTTTAATATAATGACACCAATAGGTCACAGTGCATGCCTGTGTAAAGAACACCAAATACTCTAGCTGAAATGCAGGCACTAACACTGCTGAGTGATGTGGTCACTTAAAAACAAAAAATTGAGCATTTATTAACACTTTCTATTCATGACACACCTAGAGTGGGGCAGGGAAGAAGGTGAGGGGAAAATAGGGAGAAGGAAAAAAGACCTGAGAGTTGAGAGGGAGAGAAATGTGTTTATCCCTCATAATAACCCAGGAAGGTAAGTAACAGTATCCCCAATGGAGAAACAAGTCTCTAAGAAGTCAATTACTGAGAAAGAATAAAATATCATAAACATTACTTACAGAGCTGGGCTTCAAATTACTATGCCAGGCTACCGAATTTATACAACATAACACTTGTAATCTTGATTTGGTTATCCTTAATGGCCATCTTATAGCAAAAATATTAATATCAAGAAATGGACATCCCACACAGTATGACATTTCATGCTAGCATACTGCAGATTATCAGAAAGTAATGAATAATACTGAAGGGCGGGTCCCTGCTAGTCATGGCCTGATAAAAAGTGGTCCACTGGAGAAGGGAATGGCAAACCACTTCAGTGTTCTTGCCTTGAGAACCCCATGAACAGTATGAAAAGGCAAAAAGACAGGACACTGAAAGATGAACTCCCCAGGTCGGTGGGTGTCCAATATGCTACTGGGGAAGAACAGAGAAACAGCTCCAGAAAGAAGGAAGAGGCTGAGCCAAAGCAGAATGATGCCCAGTTGTGGATGTGTCTGGGGCTGAAAGTAAAGCCCAGTGCTGTAAAGAACAGTATTGCATAGGAGCCTGGACTGTCAGTTTCATGAATCATAAAATGGATGAGAATGGGCAAATTTAATACAGATGACCATTATATGTACTACTGTGGGCAAGAATCCCTTAGAAGCAATGGAGTAGCCCTCAAAGTCAACAAAAGAGTCTGAAATGCAGTACTTGGGTGCAATCTGAAAATGACAGAAGGATCTTGGTTCATTTCCCAAGACAAACTATTCAACATCACAATAATCCAAGTCTATGCCCCAACCAATAAAGACAAAGAAGCTGAAGTTGAATGATTCTATGAAGATCTGTAAGACTTCCTAGAACAAACACCAAAAAAAAGATGTCCTTTTCATCACAGGAGACGGGAATGCAAAAGTAGGAAATAGATACCTGGAGTAACAGGAAAGTTTGGCCTTGGATACAAAATGAAGCAGGGCATAGGCTAACAGTTTTTTGCCAAGAGAATGCAGTGGTCATAACAAACACCCTCTTTCAACAACACAGCAGATGACTCTATACATGGACATCACCAGACAGTCAATACCAAATTCAGATTGATTATATTCCTTGTAGCTGAACATGGAGAAGCACTATACAGTCAGCAAACACAGGACCTGGAGCTGACTGTGGGTCAGATCATCAGCTCCTTATTGCAAAATTCAAGCTCAAATTGAACAAAGTAGGGAAAATCATTGGCCATTCAGGCATGACCTAAACCAAATCCTTTATGATAATCCAGTGGAAGTGAGACAAACAGATTCAAGGGACTAGATCTGGTAGATCTAAATTTGGAAAACTCAGCAGTGACCACAGGACTGGAAAAGGTCAGTTTTTATTCCAATCCCAAAGGCAACATCCAAGAATGTTCAAACTACCACACAATTCTGCTCATTTCATATGCTAGCAAAGTAATGCTCAAAATCCTCCAGGTCAGGCTTCAACAGTATGTAAACCTAGAACTTCCAGAACCAAATAAGCTGGATTTAGAAAAGAAACAGGAACCAGAGATCAAATTGCCAACATCCACTGGATCATTGAAAAAGCAAGATAATTCCAGAAAAACATCTGCTTCATTGACTACACTAAAGCCTTTGACTATGTGGATCACAACAAACTATGGAAAATTCTTAGAGAGATGGGAATACCACACCACCTTTCCTGCCTCCTGAGAAACCTGTATACAGGTCAAGAAGCAACAGTTAGAACCAGACATGGAACAACAGACTGGTTCCAAATTGGGAAAGGAAGCTATCAAAACTGCATATTGTCACTCTGCTTATTTAACTTAAATGCAGAGTATATCATGTGAAATGCAGGGCTGAATGAAGACCAAGCTGGAATCACGATTGCCAGGAGAAGTATCAACAACCTCAGATATGCAGATGGTAGGTACCATGATAATGGGGCTTCCCTTGTGGCTCAGCTGGTAAAGAATCTGCCTGCAACGCAGGAGACCTGGGTTCAATCCCTGGGTTGTGAAGATCCCCTGGAGAAGGGAAAGGCTACCCACTCCAGTATTCTGGCTTAGAGAATTCCATGGACAGTCCATGGGGTCATAAAGAGTCGGACACAACTGAGCGACTTTCACTTTCACCACTGCAATGGCAGAGAGCAAAGAGGAACTAAAGAGCCTCTTGATGAAGGTGAAAGAGGAGAGTGAAAAACCTGGCTTAAAAGTCAACATTCAAAAAATGAAATTTATGGCATCTAGTCCCATCACTTCATGGCAAATAGATGGGGTGAGAAAAGTGGAAATAGTGACAGATTTCATTTTCTTAGGCTCCAAAATTACTGCAGACAGTGACTGCAGCCACAAAATTAAAAGATGCTTGCTCCTTGGAAGAAAAGCTATGACAAACCTAGACAGTGTATTAAAAAGCAGAGACTTCACTTTACTGACAAAGGTCTATCTAGTCAAAGCTATGGTTTTTCCAGTAGTCATGTATGGATGTGAGAGTTGGACCATAAAGAAGGCTGAGCACCAAAGAATTAATGCTTTCAAACTGTGGTGTTGGAGAAGACTCTTGAGAGTCCCTTGGACTGCAAGGAGATCAAATCAGTCTGTCCTAAAGGAAATAAACCCTGAATATTCACTGGTAGGATTGTTGCTGAAGCTGAAACTCCAATACTTTGGCCACCTGCTGGGAAGAGCTGACCCACTGGAGAAGACCCTGATGCTGGGAAAGATTGAAGGCAGGAGGAGAAGTGGGTGACTGAGGATGAGATGGTTGGATGGCATCACCAACTCATGGGCATGAGTTTGAGCACACTCCAGGAGATACTGAAGGACAGGGAAGCCTGGCGTACTGCAGTTCATGGGGTCACAAAGAGTTGGACACGACTTAGTGACTGAACAACACCGGCAACAACAAACTAGGGAAAATATTAACGAGGATTCTTAGTATGAGTCCAGGTACTTATCCTCAGAAGGCTCAGACATCAAAGACCATGATACACACCACATCTCCCACCTCACCTGTTCCTGACAGAGGGACCTGGTCTCGTTCCTCACACGGTAACTTCAGTCTTGCCTCAGGACCTCTGCACTTACTGTTCTCAGCCAATACCGCTTCCACCTTCATTCCTTTCCTCAGCTATCTGAAGGGTTGGCTCCTTCTAATCTTTAGTTATCATTCCTCCTGGACCACCTGTTAGTTTTCCCATGCTACACTAACTTTTCCTTCAGGGCACTCAGTATAAATGGCAATTGTACATTTATTAGCTTATTTCCTTGATATCTCTCCACTGAACTATATCCCAGTAAGGGTGAAGATCATGGCTGTTTGGTTCATCACTGACCAACAGTACCTAACATAATACATGGATCTCAAGTTTATTTGCTAAATGCAATGGGCAGGTGGTTGTTTTCCTTCCAGATTTAGTGACAGTGTGAGAACTGTAGTGAGAATCTTATCATTACCTGTTTGGTTACAGAACATTCCCTTCTCCACCAATTCCAACAATCACTCTTAGCCATCCCAGAAACTAGCCTGGGGCAGGGTTTCCACAGGAAAAAAAAAGATAGTCCAGGTAAAATTACCCAGAGGTCTGCCTTGCAGAGCAAGGATTCAAACTTCTACAGCACAGGGCCAAGTCCCCACCCATCCCTTTATCTGATAGCATGCAAGATCACTTTTTTGTTGCCTTAGGTTTTTTAAGTGTAATATTTATTAATTACCCCCAATAAGCCACACTTATATTCCATGTATTAAACTCATAAAATTTTAAATTTATAAAAATGACCCTAAAGGTGCCTTCGTGACTACTTTCATATTTGCCAACAGATAGGCATGATACTGCTTTAAGCTTTCTTCAGCAAAATATGAAAACACAACCTGTAAATGAAGTCCTCAACCCCAGCTGCAAAAGCTCCTGAAGAAGTTTTAAAAAACAAATGTATGAAAGAAAGTCAAATATATGAAATTCAGATTTAGTAAACTTTGAATGACGTCTCAATTCTTTAGAAGCCCTGTTAAGTGTTTTTTTGAGGGGGGTGGAGCTTTGGGGGGTGGAGCTTAAGCATGTATGTTTTATTTTTTAAAGCTCCTGGTGATTTAAATATGCACCTAGTATTGAGAACCACTGTAAATCAACCTCTGAACCCCATTCCAACAAACAATATAGCAAAAATATAGAGTGCTTTTACATGCTTTTTTACATTCATTATCTCATTTTATTCCCAGCCCAATATTCCCTGTGACTGTTTACTGGATGCAGGTGTAAATAAACATGTTGGTCTGTGTTCTGATTTGTGACCCTATAAATATACAGAAATCAAATTTGTAAATCACAGTATTCACTTAGTGAGCAAATAAGTTTAATCTGCTATTCTGCTGTAAGGTGGCAATAACAATAAAATCCCACCACTTTTATTGTGCACTAATTATGTACCAGTTATGATACTGAGAATTAAAGATTATCCTAACCATCACATCACAAAGTAACATTCCTGTCTTGCCCCTCGTTTATGTGAAAGTCTTACTTGTCCAGATAATGGGTCAGCTGACAACAGTGAAGAGATGGTGTGATCTAGAAGGAACATACTGAGGCCTAAGACTGCAGAGGTGAAAACTGTTGCGAGGGTGACACAGTTGAGGCGTTGCCGATGAGTGTGGGCACAAGGGAAGGAACGGAAGTGAAAGCCAACAAGAGTAGAGGAAGTAAAGAAAATACAAAACTGTGTTTCCAAAGACACGGAAATCACCCAGGAAATCAAAGAACTGGCTTTGACTACTGCTTCTGAATTGACCCATGAATGCTTCCTTCTCAAATTTAATCTATTTTAACTTTTGTCTCCCAAATAGGGCCCCGTAATGGGGTCTACTCTCCTTGAGTCTAATAGTGGCTTCCCAGTTTCAGACTTCCTATAGTCATGTTGGAGTCCTAGACAGTCCAAACACATTCCATATCAATCAAACCCCCAATGAGCCAGAAAAATAGCAAAAATGATTGTCAACTTTATTACTCTAAACTACATCCCTTATATTTTTCAAAGATTCTCCATTTTTAAAATTTCTGATAGACATGGTAAAAGCAAAACAAAAATACCAGAGGATATAGAGGAAAAATAGCAGACAAATTATCTAAGTAACAGATAAACACTTTCAAGATTGATTTTGAATCTGAAAAGCAGCAGCATGCTACAAAGCTGCCTAGAAGTAAAAATCTCACTTTAAACAAATATCTTCTGTTTTCTACTACACCCTCAAGTAGGTCACCAGGATTTCTCATACCTTATTCCTCTCCTTATGTTAATCTCTTTTCAAATGTAGCTCCTGTACTAAACCTAAAATTCTTTTTCTGCTCAGACCCTTCTAAGTAACTAATAACATTGAGAAAAAGGCTCCTTCCAAGAAAATGAACTTGGTCCTAGTACCTCAGCCCACTGACTGTCAAGGCAGATTTGGGCTGCTACCAGAAAATGCTAGATTATCTCCATTGCTTTCATTCACATCTAGCTAGGTGAACACAAATGCTGAAGCAAATTCTCCTGCAACTGGGTTAAGCAGATTGATAAACAGAATTTAAATGGAACAGTGCAATCAGAAGAAGTTAGTAAGTCTTAATTAACACAATAGTTATTTGAAGGAAACTGGCAAATAAAGAAATCAGCAATTGGTATCTAACTGAACTGAATTCTCAGATATTGTGCTTGACAGAATTACTACCATAGGTTTCTCCATTTTAATTTTTTTAAATTTGATAAAATTTATCATTTTGTATCATTTGATAAAAATTACTTCTGGAAAGTTCCAATTTGTCAATGTCTAGATTGATGCACAAGGGTTTTGCCAGTCAATCTGCTAGTGGGCACAACAATGACCAACCTTGTTAGTCAATCTGAACAAACGCTAATTTCTACCACTTACTGAGGAACAGACTGTTAACTGTCTCTACAAGGAGGAGTAAATTTTAAGTAATACATAATATCTAGTAAGCTCACAGGAGCACTTCTGAATTATGAATTAAATATATATCTTCCACATTTCACATGCTAATCTATTATTTAAAATTGGTATAAATGCCTGAACTTTATATTATACTTAAATGTTGAACTGAAAGATTTTGTCTTATTACTGTCGTAGAGAATTACTGAAAAACAAGAACAAAGCTATGTGATACATGTCTAACACTAAAACAACAGTAAGGAACAAAAGCCCAGATCAAAAAATACGACCTTTACATCCAAGCAAAGAGGTGAGTGGTTCCTGATTTGGTGCCAGAAGACAATGTCCAAGGTCACCTGGGAATTAACTGCTTGGCTTACTATATGCTTCTAAGTCTTCAAATATGTATTCTTAAGGATAAATGTCTTAAAGAGCTTGAATAATCACTTCATAGAGGAACTAAAATTAGAAAGACTTTACGGTGGTTTTTATCCTCTTATTTTATTGATAGTGGCATCAATGGGAGGAGAGGTTCAAAAAGTACTTTTAAAGCTGCCTTGCCCATTTACATTACCAATGAACATATTAATATAAAATCTGAAGTATATAAAATACAGTACCTGAAACTGAACTCTTGGACACTGGATCAGAGATAAATTGGTACCAATTTTCCTTACAATACTCCGAGATGACCCATATGGCTTCCCAGACCAAAGAACCTGAGGAAGTAGAAAAAACCAAAAGTTCAATGACAAGACTTACAGACCTGTTCATATAAAAGCATCAGACAATTAACTGCATGAAAAGCTGACACATCAATTATGGAATCAGAATGCTCTATGTTACAGGAAATAAGCTAATATTTTTTAATTAAAAATTTAATAATATATATAGCAGGTTGTTATTAATGCAGTAAAGCTTAATGTAAGGCATCATATAAAAATGTAAAGAAAAATTAGTGGGAGTTGCCTAGTGGTTCAACCCCTGGTCAGGGATCTGATCTCACAAGCTGGCGCGCCCCCACCCCATAAAAAGAACTACGAGTAACTGTAAAATAACATTATATTTGGAATAAAAACTCTCATCTATTTTCATTAGGCTTCCATACTATTCTGCAAAGGAAGCTATTTTATCTCCTCTGCTTTATTTTTGGAATTTTATATATGCATAAGTCTCTCAAAGCTACAAGTTACTTTTGTTACAATAGGCTTTCAAGACAAATGCAAATCAGTACAATGTTCAAAATCTGAATTTGTACCATGCACGATGCTTCATTTTGTTTGCTTACACAGGAAGGCCTGGCCAAGGGTGAGAGTGGGCCAAAATCCAGTTGTACTACATTTTCTCAGGAGGCCCCGTCTAGGGAGAAAGGTACATTTTCCTAATTTATACAAAGATACTAAATAGGCTAGTGATAACCCTAATGAGCAGAACTTTTCAGATGAAATCATAATACATTGAGGACATTATGCTATGCTTAAAGCAAAAACAAACATAAACCTCCAAAGCAAAAAGCAAACAAAAAAATGCATGTTAAATGTTAAATCATTACGACATGTACCTTGAAACTTCGCCCCAAGTATATGCTCTTTCCTTAAAGAGAAAAACTATCCATCTGTTTTCAGTGCTATACCTGAAAGCCTAGACAGAAGAGGTAAAGAGAGGTAGTATGCTATTAAAAAGCAATTTTAAAAGACAAGAGGAAGAATGATGTGACTATTTACTTCATTCAACTTAAATATTCAATTATATCCTAACATAATGTATTCTGAGCCATGGACACTGACTGCCCTTTTTAAAGTCACTCCATGCCCATTCTAATCTGAAGAATGGAATTACAGTTTGACCAAGCAGTGTTCGTGTCAAGAGCCACGGCTTCCACACATAACCCTAACTAGACCTCTAGATCATTCTAAAAGCATGCATAACTTGTAAAACGAACAGAGAAGCAGTCTGATCTCTTACATTTTAGCAATCAAATCCAATTTAAGGTTAACAGTATGAGTCAAAGTAAGGATCATGGGGTATATATACCTCTGGCATCTGCCCCAGCTCATGTAATTGTCATCATCAATATGTTCAAAGTTTCAGAAAAACAAGGACCCTGTGTGCAGCACAGGGAACTATATTCAACATCTTGCAATAACCTATAATGAAAAAGAATCTGAAAAAGAACAGATATTTTCCCATATATGTTTAACTGAATCACCCTGCTCACACAACACTGCAGATTAACTATACTTCGATTGTTTTTTCAATTCATTAAAAACAACTTTCAATGTTTCACTGATGATTTTACCTGGGAGAGTTCCAGAAAGTACTAATAGCCTAACACTTCAACCAACAAAAACTATATTAACTCCTGCTTTAGAGACAAATATTTTTTAAGAAATATAAAAGGATGATACAGAATGGACAATTGGTCAGTGGAAAGACATCAATACTGAAATAAGAACATTAAACAAAGGATACAAGAGAGGAAGTTATGTGAAGCTTAGAAGAGAATTACGTGGAGTTGAAGAAAGGAAATTATCCACACCAATGATCATATAGAGGATCATCACATGAACAGTATTAATAACACATGAGAACTGAGAGCAGGAAAATCACCTGACCAGAGGAAAAAGGGAAGAATCACAGACTTACAAACTCAACATAAGAGGCCAAGAAAAAATAAGGACAAGTTAATTCTAAAATGGACAGTATTTAAGCAAACTCTTTACCTTATACATGTTAATAGACATGGATCTTTAAAGAAAAAAAAAAATCCATAGGGCAATAGTAACTACACCAGTCAACCATTTCTAGTGTCCTATTTAGCCACAAGTGAAAAACTCTTCTATGATGTACAAGTAGAACACTATTTATGCATCATAATGTGACAGTTGCACAGCCTAATGTGAAACCTTTCGTCCCTCCAGTAAGCAAAGATCTTAACTGCAGATGGAGAGGACAGAAAAGCTCACAAAGAAAGTTTAGAAAGGACTTGCCAAGGTCAGGAACTAAGATTTCTGCCAGCTTTTAGCTTTCCTTGCTATGTATGCTTCAGGACTAAGTTTCAATTACTGTTTTCCATCTGCTTAATATCAGAAGGAAAGACTTAGCAGGTGCCTTCCACAAAAGGTGGCCAAAGACTCAGTTTTTACTTGCAAGGACTAAGTAGACTATTTAGGATTTTTGTACAAAGTTAAGGAAAGTGAAAGAACAGATTGCTTTACATGATTATTTTTTTAAGTATACATAGTGGACTAACATAATGTAGTTCTCCTGTTACTTGTGAACTACATAGCATTTAGCACCAAAAAATAGGAAGCAAGGGTCTAAATGAGCTAGTAACTGGGATATTCAGAAAGAGGAGGAGCCATAAACTTTACTGGATTGAAGAAAAAGTTAGAGGAAGGAGCAGCTAACTTCCAGGAACTCTAAAACTAGGTCTGACTATTTTTTTTTATTCAGTCCTCATGGAGGGGGCGAAGTTGTAAATGGCTGTGAAGAAATAATGAACAGATGGTATGGAAAGTCACCATCTGCGCACGATGGGAGGCTGCACAGCCCAAGCGCATCTCTTGTCCTAACTGGTGGCTGAACTGGCTTGTCAGGATACTTGTTTGGAGAAGGAAAGGCTTCCTCTAAAGATAAACTGTCGTTAATATTTTCAGATGTTAGAGAGAGGTCAGGGAGAAAACTGTCATTACTAGACAATTCCATTTCATCAAGAAATAAGAATTCAATTCCATTAAGGAATAATTAAATAAATATAATTATTAAACTGTTTTGCTTTATTCAAAAGAACTACTGATAAATAATGTAATAATGAATCGGGAGTGGGGGTGTTTGCATATCTGAGTCTAGTAATGACAGTCCATAACATTTAGCAACAGAGTTTGAAAGTGATGACAGCAAGGCAGGAGGATGACAACAGGAAAGCTATTTGTTCTTTTTTAACAACGTGCAATGCTATTGTCACAGTGCTGAAGTGTGAGGTTGGAATCTGAAGCTGTCATCTGTCTCATCATGATGACTGCTCTCAAGCTTTATATGTTAATTTGTTTGTTACAGACTAGTTTAATCTGTATTTCTATTTGAGAGTCACCACTTAGCAAGATAAAGTATAAACTTAATTTTAAATAAATTTTTTTTTCTCTAGAAAAACTATGTAATACTAACCCAAGGTTCTTATTTTGAGGTTCACATATCCCTGAAATTATATGCAAAACTGTGTGCATACACAACATTTTTCTGGGAGGAAGGGACATACTATTAATCAAATTTTTAGGGAGTCTAGGACCCAATAAGGTATATAATTCCAAGGGAACCAGAGTATGTGTTGGGGAGAAGAGGGTAAAGATAGGAAGATGAAATTCTGTAACAATTTTGAACTCCCCAACTGAAGATAACCCTTCCCTCAGTTCTCTTCCTCCTTATCTAAACTCCTAGCCACATTCACACGCTTCCTCCAAAGCACAAGAGGAAAACAAGGGTACAATTCTTCTTAAGTATTACTGGAAATACATTACTAATCCAAATTAGATATTTGCTGTAACTTTTCAATGTAAAATACTGAGATTAACCAGAATCGCATTAGATTCATAGCTTGCTTTCTCTAGTTTAAAAACATTTTTACTTAAGGGCAAAAATATAGTAATAATACACTGAGGAGAAAGTTTGGACAAATGTGAATATAGCAGACCCCTGAACAACACTGAAGTTGGGGTACCAGGCACTACCCCACTTTCCCGACAAAATCCAGACGTAACTTTACAGTTGCCCCCAATATCCAGGGTTTCACATCCCCGGACTCAACCAACCATGGATCCTGCAGTACTGGAGTATTTACTACTGAAAAACATCTGCTTATCAGTGGATGTGAGCAGTTCAAATCCACATTGTTCAAGGGTCAGCTGCATATAGTTTTAAAGTCAAACAAATGCTGAGGCCAAATGGAAGGCAACGAAGAGAAAACAGAGGCCTCAACAGCATGTAGGAGGGGCTTTAAAAGCCAAGATTAAAATAAATAAAATTTAAAAATAAAAGCAGGCACTACCACTTATTGTCTGTATAAAGCTGGCAAGTCATTGATCCCTCTCTATTTCCCTTTCCTCATCTATAAAATGGGGACCTCATGCTTATGAGCATTAAATGAGTTAAAAGATTTAAGTATGTATTATTTAATAAATACTGTCATCTTCCCCTATTATAAGAGGTAGCTAAGTACACTAAAAAAAGAGGATTTTGGAATCAGAAGTGGATTCATATTATAGCTCTGCCACTTATTAGTCAGGTAACTTTAGACAACTCAGTTAAACACTCTTGAACTTCAGGTTCCTCATCTGTTTAAAAAACAAATCATTGTCCTAGTGAACACAGATAATATGCATAAAAGAACTAGGTATACTAAGCCAATGAATGATAGCTATTATGATGGTGCTGATTTGTGTGATAAAATACAAATAGGTTATCATCACCAAAAACAAAATCCTGATCTCAGACCTGCACTTTTTTTTAGACAGATAAAATACGTAAAGGATGAAGGCAGTTTTTGTTCTTGAATACATTCAAACACAGTACATTTGAATATCAAAACAGTGAGAAATACATATTTTATCATTGAAAAATGGAGTTAAAAAGTGGTTTTGTTTTGTTTTTTAAGTTTTCAGATTCCTCTTAGGTAGCAGGCTGAGAGATCCAGGAAACAAAGACAGAAAATAACTCCAAAGGGTCATACTGCTTCATGTTAGGAGAAAATTTATTTTTATATAGACTTTCAGTTAACTGGTTAAAGGTGATGATATGTTATATTAAAAAAAAATGGTATTTCCATCTGTCATTAGTAAAAAGGGCTGTCAGTTTTTATTACAATATTGGGAGCAAGTGAATGCTCTGTTACCTGGTCCATTCTTTGATGAAAGGCACTCGTTTTAGAGTTCAAAATGAATAAAGCCAAATAAGCAAATTAAACTAAGTAAAGCATGTTATCTGTTCCTGAAACAAAATTCTGCACTTTGGCCTCAATCAGCCCTGGTCACATTGCCCGACTTCGGGCAGGGGCAGGGGGATGACAGAGCAAAATGGTAGGAAGTTGACCATCACTGACTATACGCTGCATACAAGCCACTGACAGGCACTGTACATCCCCTGCCATTTAATCCGCAGGCTCACTGTGCAGCAGATCTTCCCATCTGTACTCTGCAGATGAAGAAAGTAACTGGCAGGAATAAACTTCAGACTGAGGTATGTGTGAGTCCAAGGCCTATATACGATCTTTCCACTAAACTACACTTCTTACTAAAACTGCAAGTGAAAAGGAATCACAAATTGAAAAGCTTCACTTTGGGGGAATCATTAACAACAAAAGCTTCCTGACTTCCCGAATGGAAAAGAAATTCTCTTGCTGTCAGTACTGAAATGTTCATCTGCCCCAGGTAGCCAAAGAGTGGTAAGCGGCAAACAAGAAAGGTGGTATAGCTGCACTACGTGAAGTTGGAAACATAAGTATATATAACTGAAAAAGACGAAACTATTAACTTTACAAACCATTTTCCCATTGTTTATCCTCAAGATGATAATCTCAAAATTACGCAACTATAAAAAAGGGTAGTTTTATTTGGTTCTTTGCTTTTTATCTCCAAAGAAAATAGATGTTAACTTTGGGAGCTTGGGGGAAATAAAAGTTCAACCTTCTCAACTTGAAGAGACACAAAATAAAAGCAAACCATAAAAGCAGTGCAATTAAAAGTATACTCAAATTATGTAACTTGCCTATATCTTTTAAGAAAACAGCTTAATTCCATGTCACCAATAACACCGAATTTGAAAATGATAAATGTTCCACAAAATATGCTTGGTACAACTATTGTTCTAATAACTTTACACTGGGTCTGAAAAAAAAAATTATGTATCAGTAGAATATATTTTTTAAATGTTAAGATTAGAGCATCTTTGGCATAGAATAACCATATTACACTAATTTTTTCTTTTTATCTGTAGTTGTATTTCAGTAGACATGACTTTTATTGTAAACAGTTGTGTGATAAACCACATTATAAAAGCACTCAATATTCCAATATTAACAGTTATACAACATTGAGTTGTCAAGCATTAGTCAAACATATTTTATTCAGTGGTTTATATATATGTATTTAAGCCTTTTCCTTACTAATAACAAATTCATTGCTTTTAACAGTCATATGAATATTGAATAAGTTTTCGATGTAACCCATCCCTTAGGATGCTGGATAAATATTCATTTCCATGATTTAAATAGCAAGCAAATTAAACAGTACATATGTTGGCCATACACAGATTCATTTTTCCCAGAAAAAAGTTATCAACGTCTGGATTTTAAAAATTAATTTTGAGCACTCACCGATTGCATGCTTCCAACCTGTTGAAAAATCATCCTAATTAGGCGTTTAATCCAGCCAAGCATTTAGATGGCAAAGTCTCTCCAAATTTGCATTTCAAGTACTTCAGGCATACATAGCAGCACATGGTCCATAAAGCACACTGAAATTTGAAAATGCAAATACTAAAGTGAAATTATTATTATTTAGAATCTTTACTGTCTACAACACGTCTCACAAAGTCAGTCTAGTCTACAACATCTTAAATCTTTGTGTGTGTGTGTGTGTAAATTAAAAAAATTTTTTGCTTGAGATCAGCTTTATATAAACTAGTATTACAATTGTATTTCTAACTATTTTTTAACTTTTCCAATCAGGGTTCTATGTTGAAAGCGATGAAAGCCTACTGTGGCTGACTTAAGCAGAAAATATATTTATGGAAAGACACCCAGTAGATAACAATCTCAGAAGAAACTTAGAGGCTACACAACCAGGAAAGACATCCAAAATTACAGCAAAACTGTCTTGGGAGACAACTCTGCAGCTGCTACCGTGACTACTGACGGGACAGAATCTACCAGGTCCCACTTCTCCGTCTCACTGGCTCCTGAGGTGCTGGCCTACTAGCGGCATCTGTTTGGTCAAACCTACCTGACTACAGGGTTTCCAAGGTGGAGAAGTGGTAAAGAATCTGCCTGGCAGTGCAGGAGACATGGGTTCAATCCCTGGGTCAGGAAGATCCCCTGGAGAAGGAAATGGCAACCCACTCCAGTATTCTTGCCTGGGAAATGCCATGGACAGAGGAGCCTGGCGGGCTCCAATCCATGAGGTCACAGAGTCGGACATGACAGAGACTGAGCGTACACTTGGCTACAGTTAGAAGCAGATTCTACCTTCCACCAAAGTCCTAAAGGAACTCCATAAATATAAGGCAGGACTTCAGATGCCAGAAGGTCAAAAAAATGACAAAGTTCTTCCTCACTCACTGGCGCTTGACAGTGCTACTCATCCTCCTCCTTTCCCCATCAATATACTGTATATCTGACCCAGATATGAACTCACACGGCATAAACCAGTTTACTGGAAGAGCTGGTCTCCAAAGTGACAAGGACTGTAGACCAGACTATAAATCAATGTGCTGCTTTCTTCTCAAGGAAGCCTTTAAAAAACTGTGTACTTTGTGATATATTTAATTCACATTCTGATAGAAGTTTATCCTCTTGTGGACCAGAAATAAAGTTTGTGGCCTACACTTTGAGAAGAACTTGATGAACAATTATAAAGAATGGAGGGGGGTGGGGTAGAATAAAGATGACATAAATATGCCAGGCGCTGGGTGAAACACGAACTAGAAAGAGACCAGCCCTAATGACAGATGTATGTAATGTATTACAAAGTATGTAATGAAAGAGAAAGCACTAACAGGAACATATAATTTACTGGTAACTAAGAAACGGTCACAACTACAACAGTTGTGAGATATTAATATATTTTAATATTACCAGCATCTATAATTGCTTATAAGAATGAATACTCTGAGGTAATGGGAATAAAAAGTGCAGAGGGCCAAAAATAAACTGGAGATGACTGGCCAAAAAAAAAAAAAAACTGATCAGAGAAAAAGGATGGTTTTATGTAGGATTTGAAAACCTATCACCGTTTTCTGGTGGTTTTTTGGCCATGCTTCGAGGCTTATGGGATCTTAGTTCCCTAACCAGGGACTGAACTTGAGTCGTCAGCAGTAAAGTGCCAAGTTCTAACCACTGGATGGCCAGGGAATTCCCCTTACCGCTTTTTTACACAGAAAAGTGCACAAATTTTAAGTGTGTCCAGGTATAAACCTGTAGAACCTCCATCCAAACCAAAATATAAAACACTTAAAGAATGCCAAGAGCTCCTGTGAGACTCCACCCAGTCAGTATCCACGCTTCATCCATCTAAAGAGCACTCTAACTTCTGCAGTCTATCACATTTGCAGGCTGTATGTACTCTTTTGGGTCTGACTTCTTTCACTCAACATTGCCTGTGAGATTTATTCCCATGATTTGGGAATCACAGTTCTTTTTCACTGATGTGCAGTATTTTGCTATGATACTCTACCACAATTTAACTTACCCAATTTAATAGGGGTTTTTTGTTTCTTGTTTTATTTTATTGAAGTATATAGTTAATTTACAATGTTGTGTTACACGATTTACTGTTTCTGAACATTTGGGTTGTTTCCATTTTTAGCTGTTACAAATAAAGTTGCTGAAACAATTCATGCACATAACATAGCAAGGTACACATAAGAACTAATTTCTCTTGGGTTTATACCCAGGAGTAAGCTTGCCAGATCATAATATATACAGATCATGTATATAATATATACATGGTTAAATCTTTAATAGAAACTAACTTTTCTGAGGTTGTTATACCAATTACACTCTCAAAAGCAGATAAATAAAAGAGCTCTAGCTCTGGTACTGTCAATGGTTAATACTTGGTACTGTCAGTCTTTTTAATTTTAGTAGGGGGTTCTTCACAGGTTTGGGGGGCATATTTTGATACCTTCCATTGAGAAGTTTTTTTCTAATTTTTTAAGTGAAAAGTTTTTTTTAAAAATTATTCTTATGAGGAAGAGAGTCTGCACTAGAGATAAAGATTATGAAGCATAGCTTAGAAAATGCAACCTAAGAGTGAATGGGCTAACTCATACAGAGTAAGAAATGAGGCCAGGATAGAAATCTCAGGGGGAAAAAAAAAAGATATCTCAGGAAATACCTGAAGATCAAGCAAAGGTCAGTGGGAAAAAATATTCAAAAGAGGTAACGAAAAATGTGAGAGATATTGTCACCAAAAAGAAAAAAAGGAATTTTCAATAAGGGGAATAGTGAAGTCGCTCAGTCGTGTCTGACTCTTTGCGACGCCATGGACTGTAGCCTACCAGGCTCCCCCGTCCGTGGGATTTTCCAGGCAAGAATACTGGAGTGGGTTGCCATTTCCTTTTCCAGGAGATCTTCCCAACCCAGGGATGGAACCTGAGTTTCCCCCACTGTAGGCAACACTTTACCATCTAAGCCACCAGGGAAGTGAATGGCCCTTGTTAAACAGAAAACATGGAAGACAGGTCACATAGCTGGGGGCCTCCTACAGCTCCCCTTTACTCCAGACCGCTCCACTGTGCTCTCTGGAAGCCTGTTTGAATGAAGGTAAGTGTTTCCTCCCTCACTGAACTGAAACTCTACAGGCTCTCCCTGTAGAATGCTGTGTCAAAGGGCCCAGGACTTGCTTATTCTCGCTCACTTTATACCCAGGCTGTTTCCAATCAATCACTGCTCTTTGTGGTGGTGGTGCAGTTGCTCAGTCATGTCCGACTCTCTGCGACCCCAAGGACTGCAGCACGCCAGGCTTCCCTGTCCTTCACCATCTCCAGAGTTTGTTCAAACTCATATCCATTGAGTCGGTGATGCTATCCAACCATCTCCGAATTACTGCTCTAAGTTCTTTTCAAAACTCTCCCTCAAAGGCAAAACTAAAGAGACAACAGAACAGATCAGGGGTCACCAGGGACTGTCAGGGGAGAAACAACTCCACTGTAACAACTGCAACAGAGCAGAAGGCAAGTTTTGGAAAAACCGACATAGTCTCTATCCTGATTGTTGTGGTGGTTACATGACTGCGTTCAAAGAAATCTACCAAAAGGAGTGAATTCTGCTGTATATAAATTGTACCTTCATTTAAGAAACAAGCAAAAGAAGCTCTCCTTAGGAAGCACTGCTTGACCACCCTGTGTTCCTCACGAGGACTGACTTAAGGACACTTGAGCATTCCTTATCATTCAACTATGACTTCAGCTGACTCCTCTCTTCTCCAAGTCCTTCCCTAAATGGAATTGTGCACTCTGGACTCATCAGCACTAGTACATCATAAACACATGTTCTTGCCAGTGCTGAGGGTTATAATATTTACAATAATGCATCCAATACAGCACCGTGAATCTAGTTACATAAAAATCTAAGACAGGTCAAACTAAAAGCAAGCTAATCACAGATTATGAATTCTTTTTCAAAGCTTTTTTTCTAATTGTTGTGGAGACAGAGGTAGTGACTGAGGGATTTCAGTGGATGCTGGCCAAGCTGTATTTCTTGACAGACAGACAGTTGGATGTGTTTACTCTGGGAATGCTTATCAAGATGCTGCACACTTACATACTTTTCGTAATGTAAGTTACGCCTCAAATAAAATTTTAAAAACACATATAGCTTTCGATTAAATTATGTGACTTTCAGGAATTTTTTGCAGAAATAAAAGCATTACCCACGGAGAACATACACAAAGATACTTTCTGCAGTGCTTCTTTTATTCACAAAACTAGGATCAGCTTTAAATGTGCATCAATAAAACACCTGTTAATTGCAGTATATGCATATCACAAACCTTTATGCATCTATTAAAAGTGAGTTACAGTCTATGTAATGACTTGATAGTACGATACAGGAGAGTAATATACTATGATTTCATTTCTGTAAAAGACAAAAATCTTCAACCTTTTCATTTATAGAAAGATATACATCAAACTATTGAGAGGGATTGGTTCAAGACGGTAGAGCAGAAGGACATGCACTCATTTGCAGAGGCATGGATATAGCTGTTGAACAACTATCGACAGAGCTGGAACCAACCAAAAAAAGGATACCCCACATTCAAAGACAGAGAAGCTGCAACAAGACAGTAGGAGGGGCACAATCATGATAAAATCAAACCCCATACCAACCAGGTAGGTGACTCACAAAACTAGGTATTCTTCATAGTACCAAAGAAGTTCTCCCCCTGTTGTGAAGGTTCTGAGCCTCACATCAGGCTTCCCAGCCAGGAGATCTGACAAAGGGATTGGAAATCCTGGGGTATCTGATCTTGAAGGCCAGCAGGATTTGACTGTGGGACTTCCACACGACTGGGGGAAACAGACACTCCACTCTTGGAGGGCACACACCAGAACCACCCGCTAGTGTTGAAGGGTCTCCTGCAGAAACGTGAGGGGGCAGCAGCCCACAGCAGGGAAGAGGCACTGGCAGGAAAGTTCTGGGAAATGCCCACTGGCACG